TCTATTTATCATAAATAATCATAATAAAAAAAAAAAAAATGAAATTGATATTTTGTATATATTACATATATGCATTCTTTCTTATATTATGATTATGTTTAATCGGGTATTTATGTTATTAAATATTATTAAATTTATATAATTTTGTTAATCATAAATTTTGTTCGTCTAAATCATACTTTCTCTTTTGTTGATCAATTTTTAATAGAAAATAGAAAACTTTTCACTATTGAAATATTAGCTTGTGATAAGTACCAGTAGCTATACATATATTTTTTGTCTCCTAGAATACGTAAACAAGACGTAATTGTTATTTTAATATTATTTAGCGATGATGTCTTATCTATATTTAACTTTTATAATTATAATAATTGTGCCAATGATTAATAATTATTTTATTTTACAGTAATTTTTGCCAACATTTAACAATAAACACAATCATGAAATCGAAATAGTTTCATGGTGAATTCAATGGATCGAGTAAACAGCATTTTCTGACTTTTACGTCTAATCTTATTACGTCTTTAATTTTTTATGGACCTATTAAAAAAGCGAATATGTTTATTTTTTATTTCTCTTCTATTTACCAGAGTTTCGTTGATTGTTTTTCTTCAAATTTACCACATCTTTCGTTCCCGTTGTCCACATTATTCTGCAGATATTTTTGTATCCGAAGGTACAACGTTTATATTTTTCTACATAGAAATGCAATAACTATCATTCATCGATCATAAGCTCAAAATGTACCATGCCATGCTGTTGATTTTGAGTCGTCATATATTTTATATTCTTTGCCCAGGCTCGACATTCGACGTTGATTATTTTATTTCCTAAAAAACAATTGGTAATTTTTAATTCAATTTTTTCCTCATTGCAAAAAAAAAAAAAATATCGTTTTTAAGATTATAAATCGTAAATGAAATTTGCTTGTAAAAAGTTTCCAGTTCAATATTCGTAAATAAAATGTAATTCTTCCATAATTTGTTATGTATTGTGAAAAGTATCGATTAATGAAGCCAGTTGCCGGACAAACATACGTTCGTGTAATTTTTAAAATTGTTTACTCGATAAGACAACGCGATAATCGTGTTGTAATGCTCTGGATTGTATTAAGTTTTAGCTGGATTGTGTCACTTGCTTATTTATAACAGTCGATCAAAGAAATTTAATTTACTTACTTGCTGGCCGAAGAAAATGGACAGCAACGACAGGGCTTAAATAGCCAGGATAATTTTGATATGGATAATAATATCCTGGAAATCCATGGCTTTCGGGATAATAATTTAATTCACCGATATCCTCGTTGTCATGAGGATTTGCACCTTTGCAGGATACCCATACGGTATTTAACTGTAAAAACAAAAAAAAGTGAGTAACGTATGCAAACAGAAAATATGGAATAGTATCAAATTTGCAAATTTTATTTCAAAGTATATCTATTATATTTACGCAGCAATCACATCATAAAATTTACATTATTATTTAAAGAATTTTATTATTTATGTAGAGTATACAATAACAATGTATGCGATACTATTGTTATCTGTTTTTAAATATCGACTGATATAATTAACTGACCGACTAACTAACCCATGAACTGTTGGTGGATTTAATATGTTCAACGAGATCAGATGGCATCTCGCTCGGTAAATTTTCGGTGTCGTTGTAATATTCTGGTATCCAACCGTATATCTGGAAATTAAATAGCTTATACGTTATGCAATAATGATAAATAAAAGAATCGAAAAAGAAACAAAGTTAATAATTATCGATGATAATGATAAACAAGTTGTGAAGTGTCATAACATACTCTATTTAATTTAATGAAGACGCAAGGAGCAGAATTATTGAAACCGTATTGACGATTGGGCGAGCAAGGGCCCCAGTTGTTCACCTCAACCGCGCAAACGTGTCCTGGTTTAACCGGTGTGTTATAATTACAAATTTGTTGATTTCTACCACCGTTTGGTAACAACGATGAATTAATATATTCTAGAAAAAAAACAGATAACATTGACACGTAAAGACACTTTTTCTTCAACCAATGTTTAATTCATAAATACATATCATAACAATTTACCTTCTAAAAATGTATCCAACAAGCCTGTCCATTTTTGTACAGAGCTGGGATCCGATGAACTGTACCAAATTAACGATCGTTCATCGGCGTTATTGGATATAGGTCGAAATCCTAAACCTATTGAGCAAACAAAAAAATATTCCGTTGATTAATAATTGTCATTCACCGATCACGTGCTATTTTATTTTTTATATTAGCAAAATAAATGATTTATTATCACTATCTTCAAACATTATTTTTACGAATGTGCTTTTTGCTTAGTTTCATTTATATTTTCATCTATCTTAGATATAAATTATATATACAGTTAATGTCACATTGATAGATGCACATCGATGAATCAATCGATTCATAATCATTCATCATAAAGATCGTGCTTTTGTTTGATCGTTTCTTAAATGAGCAATAATATATTACATTTATTAAATAGATTTAATTCTTATTTCGTTTGTATTCATACTTACTATTTTCGCTTATATTCTGAAGTCAGGTTTTCATTTGGTTTTCATAGGCAGCATGATTTAAGAGTTAATTTTCGTTTCGTATAAATTAAATTGTTCGTTTAATTTATTTTATTTTATTTTTTAATATAATTTGTCACATTAATGCAAGTTTACCTGGATTGGTTCCTATTAAACTTTCTTCAAGAATCCATCTTGGTTTTTCGTAATTTAGCGTAGCTAACAATCCTTTCATGCAAACAGCAAAGAGCAAGGCCAACGCGCTGAAGAAGCAAGTATAGAATGCTCCAGTGATGGCTGGAATAAAAGTAAAAAAAAAAAAAAAATAAAAAAAATTAAAATCTATTTAATTAATAAAATGATCGTTTTTTTTTATACCATTACAATCGAGGATAAAGAAATTTTATCCGCTTCGAGTTTACATTTTATAAAATAAATTCGCTATAATTTAATGCGTCTGTGATGACGTGTGAGCGACACGATTGGTGTAACTCGTACAAAATGGAAAAATAATTTTAATTTTCCATTTTGTATAATTTTACGTAAAACGGGCCTTAATTCGCATATGCTAATTATAAAATCATATACGGCCTCGAAAATTTTCTCCATTTCAACGATTGAAAGGAAAATATTTAAAGCGTGGGCATTATGCCAAAGTCCGATCTAAATATAGTTCCTTTTTTAAGAGTGGTATACGCTACGATTCTGCTTCTGCTTCTTGATCGCGATCAATTTTTCGACCGATATTCATTTTTCACGTAACGCGACGGAAAGTTTTCCAACTTTTCCTTCCAATCCAATAACGTAACAATTTGCTAATAATAATTGTTACGATGAAATGTTTAATCAATATATTAATCGTGATAATTCAAAATTACGTGTTACAAATATTTTAGAATTTTTGTTTCAAGAGTTTCAAGAGAAAAATTTTCAATCAAAATATAACGAGATTAATTCATGTATTATTGTGCAATATATATATATATATATATATATATACTTGAGAATTTCATATTTATCGCAGTGGTTTAACCTGTTCTACAGGAAACTATACGGATTATACGATGTACGTTATACGTGTAACGAAACATTTATGTACAATTCGAAACATATCTGTGTCTTAGTGTTAAGTGAAACGAAATAAGTAAAATCTGATAGCAACAATTTATTAATCGTTAAAAATATTTATATATGTAAAATATACTTCGTGTTTAATATTCTATATTTCAATTTAATATTAATATTGATAATAAATTTTATACAGTACCAATCTTATATCGCAGTCACAAGTAATATTATCTAGTTTCGAAATCGAAATCCCTCTCGAATAGGCAATTTTTAATTTTTCTTTTTTTTTTTTTTTTTGAACGAGAAAGAATAAAAAAAATTTCTCCATTAATATATTCGATTAGCAATATTAGTTACATAGATTTATAGCAATTTAAACTTAATTAAAATGACTATTTTTTTTTTTGCTTTTCATAAACTCGTTTTATTATTATTCATCGACCGAATTTAGCGACATCGACACTCGTGCGACCATTTACACATTCAGTATTGTAAATGTGCTAATGTGTAAATTATATACGTTCAAGAAATACAAAATTTTCCTTATCTTTTATATATTCTCATTTATTTACGTATACATGTTAAATTGTAAAAATGTAAGTAAAGAATCTTTTCTTCAAAGTAATTCACGTAATTGTTGTAATTACAAAATCTTCTTTCTTTTTCGCGTTTTGAAAAAACCTTTGAATGTATACATTTTTTCTTATCATATCATATTTATAAATATATATATATATATATAATAATCTAATAATAGAAAAATGCATAAATGGTATGATAATATTTATGATATAATATTTTAAATGGACTTCACAAGTGTGTCACAAACTCTTACTATTATTAGAAGACATTAGAAGCATTAATATCAATAATCCTAAGAGAAGATACTTCCGTTCTAATCTTATTCTTTCTCTTTCTTGCATCCTTATTCGTTCACTTTCTCTCTCTCTCTCT